TTTACTAGTTTTTTATAAATATAGGTTAGAATAAAAAAATAGAATGAAATTGTTTCAATTAAAATTTTAAGTTCAAATTTAAAGCATAAAATATTAAATATGGATGTTAAATATCACGTCAAATTCTGCTTGAATTTGTAGCAGCTTATTTGGATAAAGCGAATAGATCCGAGCACCAAACTATAAAGCCATAGTTTCAATATTAAATCTTTTTTCAAAAAACTCGAAAATGTTGATTTTAAATCTGCAGATTTTGCAAATCGAGAGATAAAATTCGCTCCAAATTTCAGTTTTAATTTCGTTTAAACTAAAATAATCATTTATCTACTTAACCGTTTCTGTATTTCGGCGCAATCAACATATTTCACTTCGAAAATCATTTGTTACTGTTAATTTCAATTTTCAAATAGCCGCCAAAATGAATTTGGGATCGTATTTTATTTGTAAAGTAATGAACGCAGCTACAACGCCATTTCGGGTCTTGTTTACAGCCGTTTAGTTCCATATTTGACACTTCATAAAGCAATAGATGTCGGGACAATCGGTTACTCCATGTTGAGGCTGAAGATATTACTACAGTATAGTAATTGTCAGAATTCCGGCCAAAGAAAATAAATTATTTTGCGTATTTTTACGAGTATTTTTTTTCTAAAATTATTGATTGTCATTATTTATATTTACTTTTTATTAGATCTTATATATTATCTTTAATAACGATGCATTAATAAGAGCAGCCAAGAATTGCACTTATTGCATCATTTTTCCCATGAATATAAAATTTCCAAAAAACGTATGTCTCTTTGCTACAGACATACAAAAATACTGATACTTATTATAATCCAAGATTTCAAATAAACGATGAATATTATATTCTTGTAACATTGATGACGAAAAGCTATTCATCGACATCGAAATTAAATTTCTAATGTCAAAAAACATCCAGCCACCAATTTTTATCCAAATATTGACGTTACTTCAGAAATTATTTATAAGTGAAATTACTACACTCTGTATCTTCGAAAGGAAGCAATTTATACCAACTTTTTTACAATTTGTTTTTTTACAAGTATTTTTACCTGCAGAATATGCTGCCGAATACAATTCGGACCACTCTGTAGAGAAATATATTTTGGAAGTCAACATATTTTTTTAGATTATACGATGCATGAAAATAATGAAATTATATTTTAAAAATACCTTTCGCATTTAACTACCAGCCATATGCGAAAACAATTTATAAATTTATTAAACGAAAAAAGAGACGGCTGCGTTTTATATATGTTTTAACAAACAGCTCCGGTGGCCGATGTGTAATTAAATTAAATATATAGAAAATACAAATTGGAAAATTGTTAGGAAAATTGACAAAATTCGAGTGAATAAGTAGTGACCTAAAAATTTGATACGGAAAAAGTAAATGCGGCAATATCGATTTTATTACATGCCCGCCAGAGCACTGTGTCAAATGCACACACGTTTCGTACCGTTTTTATAAAAGTAATTTTAATCAGATATACATAAAGTACACAAAGACCACCAGTTCAAATATAACTTCTGTTATCATTGACCTAGGAGTCAACTAGGAATGAAATTGATTTCATTTTACCAACAAGATGAACACAGCAAAAGATGTAAGCGTTCTTAACAAGTTTCGGACAGGCAGTTACTCGTCAGAGCCAGAATAATCCTTTGACATTCGACTAGAAACATTACAATAGACCAGCAAACGAATAACAATTAGAGTAAACAGCAACACTCTAAAAGAAAAATCCATTGAATATGAATAGCTGCTGGACAGCAGGCTGCCTGAAGAAGCTACTGGACTGCAGTGCTGGAAATAGTAGAAGAATATATATATTTGGGACAACCAATAACATAGTTCGGGATCTCTACTACTAATACTAGTATTTATGTAAGGAACTCAATTATATTCAAATCTAGAAAATGCCACTTATACTTACAATAAGTATAATATAGTAATAATTAAAAAATAATCTTTTTGACTGCAATTTTGTGTAATACTACATACTACTGTAATACTACATTTGGCATTTTTTACTGAAATATAATATGGCAAAAAGTCAGGTAAATCCATTCATTATTTACATTGGGCCGTAAAAACATATTAATTAAACGCAGTTAGATTTGAGCAAATAAAACGAAATGTTTGATAGTAATCACTAGGAAATTATTTAAATTTAAATACGCAATTTATTTATTTAATTTCGCAACGATATCAGCTAAATTTACCGGATTTTAATTGCCATTAACAATAAATTTGTTTATTATAAAGTTCGAGTGTAAATATGATATATCTAGTTAATTATATACTATTTATCAGTACGTGTTAAATTAGATTAGGGTCAGTTTTATCCAAACATGTACGGGATTAATGTTTTTTACTTTGTTTTAACTGTCATATCTATTTTAAAAATATCTTCCATTACTTCAATATATTTGTAGAAGGTAGAATGTTTGGGAGGCCGCGACCTTTATTGTGTGTCTCCTTTCTTCAGTTATGACGAGTTATTGCTCATCATACTGTCTCAAGGCTTTGACAAAAGCCAGTATCTGAGACGGCTTCACAGAAGTTCTACATCTCTTATATTGGTCGGGCCATTCTGGATAATGGGGAAACACTAGAACACATCATCAGTGATGAAGTATTTTGGTGTTTCCCATTTTCCCCACAGAATCTGCATTCGCCGTTGTTTCTTAGCTTCATCCTACTGAGGTGTTTGTTGAGGAGACAGTGTCCAAAAACCCCGTGACAATCCGAAGATTGTTCTTACTTAAATCAAGGAAAATCTTTGAATTTTCTCGATCGTATGTTCTGTATGTTCTCGTATAGTATGAGAAATTTCTTCGAGTGTCTTAGACCATTGGAGAATTCCCATTCCAGGTTATGGATGGAGTCTTTCAGGTTCAATATATGTGTTAAAAACTCTGCTTCTTTACTGGGTGGTACAGGACCGTGGGTATGTTATACTATTCTATATTTACCTATATTAAGGAAAATTGTGTGTTTTTCAAAATTATATATGTTACAGGAAAGGCCAAAAATCAGTGAACGTTAAGAATTACTAGACAGTTAAAGCACGGCCAAAGACGTAGACGTAAACGTATCGTTTGACATGTACGCTTGCGCAGTGAGAAATTCACTTGCGTTTACAGATACGTGATACGTATCTTTACGTGCCTTTACGTACGTACAAAACGCAAACGTATCGAGCCGAAGGAGTTTCGATTTTCACCCGAATGATGCCGAACGTACAAATTCACAAACAACTCGTTTCCACAACTGGCTATAGTAATTAAGTTATTTCATAAATTTTGGTGCCAGTGTAACAGAACTGGGCCTATTTTATTACAATAAATTAGTATGAAAATATTAAGCATCATAATAAACTCATTTTGGAATCTATTTCATTAAATGCTAGTTCTTAGCCAAAATCCATATGAGGATTCTAAAAGATGGAATCTAATAAATAATCATAAAATTGTGTCTGTTTTACAATATTTTTTATTACTAAGATCATTTTAAGTTGTAAGGACTACTTTCTGTAATAAAATAATTTCTATTTATAATTTTCTTCATTTTTCGAACTTTTATAAATTTAATGTGGAATCAATGGAATAATAGATATCCATTTTCAGTTTTAAAATTAAATAAATTGTTTCACAAAATAATTTAGAATTACAAATGTACCATTTGCGTTACGTACGTCAAATACTTGCTTTAACTCTTGTTTACACGACAACGCAATGGCATACGTAACGTAGGTTTCTGCGTTACGTGTCGAGAGATACGTATACGTATTGTGCCTTGCTTTAACTGTCTACTAATAGAATTTTGAAACGTATACTATGTTAGCATTCACTTGAAGTGTCTCATATTCCAAATAAAATATACATACCGATAGCTAATTTTACGTTGGATTCATACAGTAACAAAAACCGTCGAATGAATATAATGCTGAATATAATTTTAAAATTATAAATTTAAACTTGAATTGAAATATTTTTATTTACAGAAGTAATACTAAAAAGAAAACACTCGTGTATTTTCTTTTAGCTGAATGACGTGCTTCAACCCCTAAACATACTGTACTTTCAAATAGAACTTGTAACGAAAAAATATTTTTTGGTTTGATGGTTTCCAGAATAAATCCCAAGAGCAATTATACTAAGTGGGATGGAGTAAAAAATATTCACGTTTCCTTCAGAGATCTAAACAATTCTCTTATGATGTAAGAACTTTTTTCAAAGAAAAGAAATTTTTAATCCTTCCTGCTTTATCAGATTTTGAAAAAAGTGTCCATAATATGTGGTTTAAATTTATAAATAGTAATTTTAATATAATTAATTAATTATTGATAGAGTAAACATATTTCTACAGTTGTTTTACTACAATCCATTCACGATTCAGTTATGTAATGGAGTCAATAAAATACAAGTTTTTGGAAGATGAGTCAATAACTAATTAATTGAGATAATAGACATGTTTCTACGAGCTACTTTTCAGTACCATACCTATTATTTATAACCCAGTGGTTCACTAATAATGCAATAATTCACTTTAGAGGTTTCATACATAACAACAAATACAGTCCAGCCTAAATGATGCTACATTATGTTTTATTATTTACTGATTTTATCGTTTAGTTTGAAGGTAACGGGCGTGAAATTATACACACTTTTATGATATAATTGATATGCGGTGGTAAATCATATTTAAATTTATATATGTTAAAATTGCTAAAATCAATACATACTATTCACACTGTTCGGATTTTATTATATATGAATTCAAGATAGAAATTTTGAAAATATTAAATTATAATGTGAGAAATATCAAAAGTAGATTTGGCGTTGATGCCTGGAAAATATAATTAAAACTTGTCAGAAATACATTTTAATTTTAGTTAAATTAGAATTTTCTCTCTGACAAAAAATTTGATTTCTGTAAAACAACTAAATTAATGTATTTATTATTTCAGATCCTGAGAATTATTGGAACTTACAAGGTCATGAATATGGTAAGTGTGTAATAAAAAAATATAAAGTCTTAATATGGCCTTTAAATGATATTTATAAAAATAATTATTAAACGTATTAGTAAAATATCTTTGGGGGAAATATTGAATTATTTTTGATTAAGTTTTTTTCAATAAGAAACCTTAGAATATTCTATAGAGATATTTCTCTGTTTCTCGCAAGTAAAGTTAAAAGTAAATCACGTTGGGAATTTTTCTTTGATTAGATCGATTTTGCGAACTCATTACTTTCGAACTTGTGTTCATTTATAACTCTCCTTGTAAATTGCCCATTTAAATTTCCTCTCACAAATTTATGTTGTAGCACTGGTCCAAAATTTAACGAGGCAGCATAACATCACTTTTAATAAATATAAGATAAATATAAAATACAAAATTATAAAAAAAATATAAAACACACAAATAAATATAAAATATTAAAGTTCAGTATAATATTTGGTTTTAAACACTTAACTATGCCTAGAGAAATGAAGCATTAAAATTGTTACTGCATTTTCGCAAAATCGTAAATATTTCAAAAATAGTAAGATTAAAGCGTGGCAAACCTTAATCAAATTTACCTTTATTTTAATGGTAGAAACTAAAAATGTAATAATATACAGGGTATTTCATTTAAAAAATGCAACCTTCTGAAATTATAAAAATAATAATTTCTGTTGTTGAAAATTCTCTGATAGAAGAATAAAATATAGTCTATTTTCTATTTCATTAGATTGATGTAACTTTTAATTAATAAACTTAAAAATGACCTTTGAACTTATATTTAACAAAGCCTATAATAGAACAAAACAATTTTAATATAACGAGATTGACATTGTTTGACATTTAATATAAGGAGCTCCACTTGATGAAATTAAGGAAAAAATAAATTTCAAAAAGAAAAGTTTAAAAGAACTGTTTGTTTTACATCTAAGGACATATATTAAAAACCAGCATTAGAAAAACATATATATTTATAAATAAATAAAAAAAAGATTCAATTTTAATTGTAATGAAAGTAAATATGTCATTGTACTGTTTTCTTTGTATTAACATGGAGAGAGTTTATTTAAATTTTTTACTATAAACGTCGTTTTAAAATAAATACTAACGAACTGTATAATTTAAAATGTATTGATTATTTAATAGCTTGATCAAATAGAAGACCCTTTTGTTATGCTTGTTTTCTATTAAGGAAATTAATACTTAGGGAAGTTCGTAAAATATTTATTAACCCTTATATTTATTCTGCGAGAACCCCTAAAGAACATATTTATTATTCAGTTTAGATTAAGTAGTACACATTTATCTTTTTCTTTTTAGGTAACATAATTGATTAAAAAAGTAAATATAATATTAGTCTGAATTTTATTTGGATATGAAATTAAAAAAAGGTTAAAAAAGTAAAAATTATTGGAAAATAATGTTGGGGAAGCTAAACTATCCACTTTTGGCGATGTGTATTGGTATTAAATCAAAAGCAGCCGCAAACACAATTGAAAATCATGCACTAGAATAAGCTCCAAATTGACAGCCATTATACCAACCCAATTGTTGAAAAAAATAGCGATAATCCTATATCAGAGCGTCCACATTATTGAGTTTCCTATTGGTATTATTTCCATATGCCATTATTTATCGTTTCTATAGCACTCTGTTATTGGCCACAAGTATTTACGAGACAAAAAAAACAAATCATTTATTGACTATTTTTTTTTATTTATTTTTAATATTTTAGGACAAAAATTTATGTAAAATATAGATATGTTATAAAAAAACTAGACTACTATTGTGCTATTACTACAATTCAAGTTTAGTTTTCTGCTGGCGGCGATTAAATAATATCTAATATATTTTTGCTGTTTGCAAGGCATTAAAATTTATCTATAGCATTAATAAGATAAGATAATAATTCTTTAGTTAGGTTTTGGAAGGATATTGTAAGGGAAACTTTATAAAGTAACTTTAAATTGAAAACTAACGATTTTAAGGGCCAAGTTCAATGTCAGTTCTTCATTATTTCTAGAAAGGAATTTTCGTAGAAATTTATCAGATAAGTTTTAAGACATTTAAGATTTCAGAAAATACTAACTTAGTCAACAAAAAAACTCAACTTTTTAAATATATTAAGAAATTATTCTAAAGTAATAATAACATAAATAAATCGTTCTTTTGACAGTTATTGTATATTTCTGTATATTATTACTAAAATTGTTTAATTTGTACGAAACGAAAAAAATAACACTAACTTTATTCAAGCACAGAAGAAAAATATTTTTGATGTATATTTATATTTCGATGTATAATGAAACTTAATATACTAATTCCCTGACATAGATTGAAACTGAACCTCTTAGAAGGTTTTGGAAGCCTCTTAACCTTAGAAGCCCTTTATGAAATTAATGAGCACATTATGTTTAATTAATATAATTTCTAGAACCGGTTTAATGTAATAATATATTTTAGAAATATTATTAACTATGGCAGCCAGGTGAACATATTATTTCACAGTACGGTGATAAGCTAAATTTATTAAAAGTAGGGTTGTTTTTCATAATTTGCTCTTCTATGATTTGCAGTTGTTTAATTTTATATTAAGTGAACTAGGACACACTTTGATTATTTTTTGGGCTTATTTATATAATATTAATATGGTTAAAAAGCTGTTTGGGTATAGAATTACAAATATATTAAGAAAATTTCCAGTAAGAAGTAAGTTAAAATCTTTATAAGATATTTAAATTTGAAAATGCTATATTCTAAAATATCCCGAAGATATTACGTAATAATTTAATTATAATTTAGTTTGAGCGAAGTTTTAAAGAGCAAAATGGTAGGAAATACCAGCAGGCCCTTTCCAGTTCCTATATATATATTGTAGCTTAAACTAAATTTCGAGTCGAGTTCTATAATTCAGATTTCTCTGAATCAGTGAAAGCAACTTTATAATTGCATTCGGATCTTTCCTCAAAGTTACTGTTTCGACAAGTCGATCGATGCGCGTCATCTTCGCATCGCCATGTCTTTTAACTTGGCCATAATTTTCCGCATGCCATTGTTCACTTCGGTTTCAAAATTAACAATTACATGCAGCTCCCATTTCCATCAAGATAAATATGAAGTTCATTACGTATCAAATATTTGCTATAAAATACTGTAAAGTGTACTAGTTTTTGTTAAATGTTTAAACTAAAATGCTATTAGGTTTACTAAAAATATTTTTAGAACTGAGAATTACAGTTCACACTTCATAACTGCCAGTCATCATCATCATTCTCAGCTTATTCAACCACTTCCAATTATGGTGTAGCCTCCCTCACATATTTAGATATGATATCTATACTAGGTCTCTATACTATCGATCTCTATGCTAGATTTAATAAATAGAACTATATTTTAATTATTAAATTAATCCTCTGACACTTATGTACAACCATAACATTAAATTTTGGAGTTTGGAGGTAGCGAATGATGTTGACCAAAATTAAAAAAAGTGTACAATACCCCATTCAATTATGAAAATATCTTTCAGTTTTCTAAACTCAATATTTTGCGTACTATGCACTCTAATTTACGTTTCCACCGCTTTTTATAAAAATAGAGTTAATTACGTTGGTAAAATATGTTATTATATCGAGTCCACGACTGGAAACTTCACAGATGTTTTCGTCGTGCAAGACAAAATAAAACAAATTAAAAACTAATTAAACTTGCTTTGAATTAGAGAACAGAATAGTGGAAGGAAATGGAGTTCCTTGTTTTAATTTCTTGCAAACCGAAGTTGTTTTATATCGCTCCGCTAAGTAAGTTGTAATAATCAAAATAGCGTGTCCTTTAGTCATGCTATGCAATCATTAATTACTTTTTGGTATTTCATCAATCTGTAGTAATACCGGTTAGTAATTGGAAGCAAAATCTTGTTGTTAATTAAGTAATTACGAGTAACAAAGTAATGTCGATACTGTCGCAGTATCACTGATATACCGGGTGGTGCATTGTCGGTGAAAACATATAATGGCTCCTCTATTAATTTTAGAGCTGATGGCAAATGTAATTTGTTGTGCTGTCTACACCACTACATTATAGTACCTACGCCTAGAGTTCTTGATATGTATTTTTGTAATTTAATAAATGAGGCAAAAGCCTAACATTTGGAAAACACAATTTGATATTTGCAAAATTCGGCTTGTCCAAAATTGTTCAAATTTGTCATGTGTGTTCATCATACGAAGACTTTTAAAAAACCTATTCACAATTTCGCAGTAAAATTAACAGGAGAGTCAATATCTGGACAGTTCAAAATTTGAATGCTATTTCCTATGATTCCAATGACAATGCACCACTCTGTTTTCTTTTAAAATCTCTATCACTCTATTTTTTTTTTAAATCGTCATTGTTAATTAAAATCGGATAGAAAAAGTATTAAATTTTAGGTGCTTAGCTTACGTTTCCCTTTATTTTTATAGTGAATATTTAATAAATATAACAAACTTTATATATTCTCTATGAAAAATGTTCCACGTTTTCGTAATAACTGGACGCGACAGGTATTTTTTGCATAAAAATAAATAGAGAAATATTTAAACAAAAAGTGACGAATATTTATGCTGCATGCGACCAGAAAGTTCCATATTTTGTTGAAAGTTGCCGCAATATAACACAATTAACATTAATTCTGTTTTCAGATGTCTTCCTTTCATGCAGGAAAAGCTGCAGGTGAAAATTATTCATATTTTTCGCCTTTTTATGTAAATTTTTTATGGCACTTCAAAAATAAAACATGAATATTTATTTATTCGAGAAGAGAGAAAAAAAACAACGTTAATTAAACATTTTCGAAATGGACGTCGTCGATAGAAAAGAATAGATAAATTGGAAAGGAAAGGGAACTCAAAAAGAATTGGCTATCGCATTGTTTAAGATAAATTGATCAGAACTGGCCTTATTAATACCAGCTGCGCAATCTAGCATAAAAAATTAATTGCAAAGAACAGCACAGCTGG